AAAAAAAAAAAAAAAAAAAGAAGAAATGATGTTTAAACTAAGGTCTGAAACATAAATAAGATTTATCCAAATAAAATAGGCATAAGGACGTCGGGGGTGAAAGATAGGTTGTATTGTTACGATTAATGTTTGATCATTAACAAGCTCCCCAAATAAAAGGTACCAAATAAATCTTGGATCTATTTATAGTAAAAGAAGATAATTGAAAATAAGCCAGTAAATGGAGTTAGTTTTGGGGCTATTTCATGTAATTTATTGAGAGTATTCGTTTATTCTTGAAAATCTATTTCTGTATATTTAGTAAATTAAACCTTATACATTTTACACAGCTCTGTATTTCTCCTAGAGATGAATTTTTTTGTTTATTCATTGCTTAGGCCATTGTATTAAAATTTTTAAAAATACTTGCAACATTACTTAGAGTAGAAGTCTGTTCAATTATTGAGCATCTATTATGTCTAGACAAAGTGTGATGATATGTGCCATGATAGGTGAAGGACAGGGTGCTATGAAAACCCATAAGCAAAGGCACCTAATGCTATCTGGGGTGGGGGACCAGGTAAGAGAATATTTAATGGAGGGGAAGGGATATTTAAGCTGACATTTTAAAAGGTGAGTAAGATTTATTTAGATAAAGTAGGAATAAGAATGTTGAGGGTGGGAGTAGAGTATGGAGAGCATATTCCAGTTATGTAAAGAGAGTAATATATTTAAATATGTGTGTTAAAGAAGAAGCTATGAATAATGATAGCTATAGTAAAAGCCATTAGTTATTGAAGGATTATTATTATCCTATTATGCTTCTGTTTGAAGCAGTTTACATGCATTAACATCTTTAATCTTTATAACATCCATATAAGGGAACTGTTGTTATTATTCCACTTTCATTAATTGATTTTAACTGTCCTTTATGGGTAATGTAATATATAGTTCTCTCTTCTCCTCATTAGGTCTGAATTTTGTAACTTTGGCATTATTTTATTTTGGTTTCAGTTAGCTGGAAGTGGCCTGGAGGCATACCTTACTAGAAAGACCAAAAAAAAAAAAAAAAAAATTATATGGCATTTTAGCCTGACATTAAAAAGAATAGTATATTAAAATATGTTATATATGGATAATCAAATCTATAACTGTCAAAATTAATTTTTAATTTCCAGTTTATAAGAAATAGAGGGGATAAAGAAGAAGGTAATCAATACTGTGAAAAATAGTAGGACAAATCCAGATTGTGACACATTCTAAAAGATACCTGGCCTGGACTCTTCAAAAAAGTCAGTATAATGAAAAAGAAAAAAACAAAGAGACTCTAGATTAAATTACACTGAGAGAGACATAACAACCAAATGTAATGTAATGCATGAATTTCAAATGGATCCTGGATTTTAAAAAGAAACACTATAAAAGATACTTAGGGGACAACTGGAAAATTTTGAATATGGACTAAATATTATATGATATTATAAAATATTATTAATTTTCTTAAGTGTGATAATGGTACTGTGGTATGTGGGAGAAGGTCTTGTTGGCTTATTTCTTTTATCTATCCTCATTCCCATCCTCAACTGAAATGTCAGTTCTTTGAGGACTGAGACTTTCTGTTATTCATTGCCTACTTTACAGCACTAAGGATAGTATCTGGCGCATAGTAGGCAATAATCAATATTTGTTGAGTGAACAAATGAATAAGGATAACCAATCTCAATCAGCTTTACCATTTCTGTATAACTCATAATAATATCTTTAGTATTTTTTATTAGTTTCAGTATTATTAACCAGAAACAGTAATAGATTGTTCCTTACGTTTCAGGGAAGTTGGGAAAAAAGAATTTTGAAGAGTTTAAATAGTATGTGCACTGAACTGAGTATCCCATTGGCACGAAAGGTATTTTTAACATCTTTCTGTTTAAGTATATTATTGTGAATCAAGTACTAGAAAGTATCATGCAGTTATATAAGTGTTAGCCACATTTTTTAAACTAGTATATCAACCTTGTTTTAAAATAAAAATCTGTAAAAGGCCAATTACGTGGGTGTATTCTACATAGATTTCTATCACGTATGCTGTAATGATTATTGCAACAAACTATATCTTTGAAAATAGAAATATAGAATCTATAGTATAAATTTAGACATTTGGCTGTAAATATTATGAGTACACTTTAAAGATTTTAATTACATTTAGTCTCCTTTTTGTCTAATTAGCACAATAGCCATATTCCCTAAATCAGAGATGGCATTCAGGCATACTATGATCTTGTAATAGGCAATATGGCACCATCTTTTAGTATTAACATAGAGAACAAAAAGAATAATTTATCATCTCTGTGGAGCTGGAATTCTATTTAGAACTAATACTCAATATTTATCTGTCACTCTGGGCATTGAGAGGGAGAGACGGGAAAGGAAAGAAAAACCAGTTGAGGAATGTTCTGGATTTTTTATAGCTGCTCACAAGTAGTGAAGAACCAGTTTTCTTTCACTTTATTCTCCCCATCTGCTATTTATTCTTTGCTGTCGGACAGGATTGTGTGGATATACTTTGGATAATATCCAAGGACAAATCACTGAAGCCACCAAAAGGATGGTGTAAAAAAAGGATAAATTTATGTGAAAAACTGTCAAAATATGTAGTATTGTGTGATATCCTGTCTTTCACATGGGAAGATGATGCTACTGACTCACAGTCACACTCTCTTGGCCAGTCCCCCTTGTGATGCATTTTTGAGATTGCTGGATGGGGTAAGAGATGTAGTATGTGGCTGAGGAGCAGTTTTTCTTTGTGACATTTACTGGCCAGTACAGATCATGTACTTTTTTTTCTTGGACTTATTAGCACCATATTCTAACTGAGCCATTGAGACTAGATATAATGTAATAGTTAAATAATAATAATTTAAGTGTAATTCCCCAAAAATGTTCACCATGTTTAGTGAAATTATTTTTCCTTAAATGGCATTTTATTTAAACTTTTAAATAAGTTATTGATTCTTGTTTTTTAGCTGCATTGCTAAACTTCAAAAAATGAAACCCATTTTAAAATTACCTTTTTTAGAGGCCAGCTGGAGACCAGAAAGAACTTCTTAATAAATGGAATGAAATGGGAACCGACGAACCAGGTATGTGAAGAACTTTTTTCAAAATGTAATAGTGAAAAAAGAATTGCTGTCTTACCTACGAATCCAAAGTAACATAATTTACAATTCTTTTGGAAGGATAGCAACTTTCTCTCTGCACTAATTTTCTATCATCTGTTTTGTTTGCTTAACCTTCTACTTTGCAGTTTAAGGATTCCTGATTTTGGCCTGTGTTCTCTGTTATTTTGAGAATATTTAGATTATTTTATCCCTCTCTAAAGCAGAATTTTAGAACATTTTTATAAAAGAGTAAATTAAATTTATTCAGTGGATTTTTGAGACTCTTACTAATTAAGGTAAATATTTTACAAGCTTATTTACATTGAATTGTTAAAAATAGGTTAAAAAGTGAAAAATAAGTTTCAAGACTTTAAAAAAATTTATTTTGGTTCATTTTAATATTTAAAATCTAGTCAATTTATAAATATATTACGAGTAACTACTATATTTCATTTACTATGCTAGATGCCTATGATTATATAGATAGACATGTACATAACCCCTCTCGTCCTCTCCTTCACTACTGCTTAAAAAAATGTGTGAGGGACTAGTCAGGAAATAAGTGCCATAATAGAGGAAGCAGTGGGTTATTGGAGTTCAAAAGGGAGAATAGTTTAATACAAGAGCAATTCACTAAGAATGCATTGTTCATATTCTAAGTACTTTGAGAATTCTCATGTAGAACCTTTACATTACATTGACATTGGTCAATTCAGTTATAAATAACTTACTACACTTTATGAATAAGATACTCACAATTTCTTCTAGAATATGTCATCTAGTATGTTAAGGGGAGAGACTGTCTTTTCATTTTTATGGTCCCAATATTTAACATAATGTATGACAAATAATCAATACTCAGCAATGTTTGAATTACTCTATCTGGATGGCAACATATGAAAGAGTTAGTAACATTTATTATTAATAAGACTTCATATAATGTTATTAACTGAAATTATGTTTTAATCTGTCTTATAGATTTAAGCCTTTTCAGACCTGTTTATGCACCTAAGGATTTTCTTGAGGTAGGTTCTATTGGATAAATAAATATACATGTATTAATATTAATGAAGAAACAATGTGAAAGAAATGATGATGCAAGAATATCTCCATCCAGAGAGGTCACCATGTAAAAAGCCCTAGAGCTTTTGAAGCAGTGGAATGACACGATCAGATCTGTATTTGGAAATTGCCCTTGAAAACTATATTGGAATATGGAAAGTTTAGGGTCAGGTAAATCAATTGGGAAGATTTTGATTAAAAAATGGTGACTGTAAATCATGCCTGCTGCCTAGCACATATTCAGGAAATCTTTTTCTTTTTCATTCTCCGCCCCCTGCCCCGCCCCCAGTAGTTCAGGCAACACATGATGAGGGTCTGAACTAAGAGGACAGCGCTGGAAATGGAAAGAATTTGACAGATTTGAGGGAGATTTTTAAATAGGATTTGGGAACTGATTAGATATAGGGACTATGAGAAAAAGAAGATAATGATAGCCTTCAAGTATTTAGACTGGGTGTTTGGGCAGAGGTTACTTGCCCTTGAGATAGAGAATACAGGAGGAGGAACAGGTCTATTAGCAAAGGTGGTGAGCTTAGTCAGGTTTGAGAGGCGTATCAAACATTCAAGTAGAACTCTTCAGTAGGCACTTGGAACTCTATTTTAATTCACCTATTTTTGATTCCACTCTTTGTCTTGGACCTTGCATATAATCCTGTCAGCTTTACCTTCAAAATATATCCAGAATCCATCCACTTTTTATCACCACCACTGCTGTGTCCAAGCTACCATCATCTCTTGTTTAGACTAGCCTCCTTACTGGTCTTCCTACTTGTACTTTTGCCCATCTAGAATCTGTTTTGAGCACAGCTTCCAGAGGGAGGCTTTTAAATGCAAATCAGGATAAGCCACTCTTCTGGTATCCAGTGGCTTACCATATCATTCTATAATACTTAAAAGTCAAAGTCATGACAGTGGCCTAAAACACACCATTTGACTTGATACTGCTTTATTTCTCTGAGTTCACCATTATTTTTCTTCCTGATTTGTCCTACTCCAGTCCCATTAGCCTCCTTGCTTTCCCCTGGCTTTCTCCCAGCTAGAGGGCTTTTGCTCTTTGTTTTCTCTGCTTGCAATGATTTTTACCCACATATCTGCCTACACATTCCCTCACTCCTCATGTCTTTGCTTAAATGTCACCTTCTCAGCAAAGCCTTTCCTGGTCCTCCTGCTTGGAACTCCTTATACCCCTTTTCACCTTTGTTTTTCTCCACAGCATTTATATTACATATTTACTGTACTATTAATTCATTTTGCTTATTCCTGCTTTCTTTCATTACAGTGGAATGTGCGCAGGGGCAGGAGTTTTTCATTCTGTTTTGTTCACTGCTGCAACTATTACAGAGTCAGATAACTGACAACACTCACAAGACTTCACAGGGTACATCCACATAAGGCTTTCTTTCAGCAAGAGAAAGAAGTAGATGCAGGCACACAGAGATCTGTACTTCCAGCAGAGCTCCTTGGGCCCTTTCTCAGTTGCACGGGATGTGCTTCATTTTTGAGTTACAAACCATCAAGATAATGTAAGATATCTTGGTCTAGGGAACCAAGACACAAGTTTTTTGAGGGGTCTTTTATACTCCCACTGGTTAAATCAGATGCAGACCACCAATGTGTACATTTTTCAATCAACAGTGTAAACAAACCTATATGGAATGCCTCCAGGGGAGTTTTGGACATTAAATAGCACATCATAAATGACTAGTTAGTACATGTCAGCGCATCTTGGCCAAGGATCACTAGCAGACTTCCAGGTATCCCTGGAGATAAGCATATTGCTACTACCGTGAACCAGTTGTAAATTAATCCTAACCTTAACTGCTCTGTCTCCAACAGGTGAAACAGTGCTTAGCACACAGCTGCTCAATAAGTATTTATAGAATGAATAGTAAATGAATGAATGAATGTTTCACATTTTTATCATTGTCTGTTTTTTGAACCTGTTGTCTCTGATACCAATTTTGCCAGAGTAAAATTTTGATAGAAATTATCATATTTCAGGACTTTTGGATTTGTAAATAATTTCCTTTTAAATAGTCATTAGTAAGAAACTACCTTTATGATATTGGCTTTATTTTTCTTAGGTTATTAAAAGTTTCTCCCAAACGCTTCCCTTTACTAGCACTTAAGGGCTGAAATTTCATTAATTTTTATGTTTTCTCTTTAGTAGCTCATAATAATCTGTTTCCTTGAGGACAGTTGCTGAATTGATGCTTTTCTTACTCACTCTGAGATTTTCTCCTTTAATTTAAGAACATTTTCTATAATTATTTCCTCAGTTATAGTTTCTACATTTCTAATATTTTCTCTTTTCTGTCACCCATGTATTTACAATTTCTTCTCTTTTTTCCACTTTCTATGTTTGTGAGTTTCCCATGCAGTATGATCCCTTATTTATGTAATTAGGCTAAAATTGTATTGTTCTATATTAGTCTACATTTATCATTGTTGATTCTTTGCTAAATATTTTATTTTTTAAAACCAATACCATTGATGTTTTTAGTTTCAATATAGTGTTTGCAATTTTAGGAAACTCTTTTGGTATTATAGAACATTCCATTTTATCTGCCACTAGTTATCAGTTGATTAATACTTTCATCAGATATGATAGTGTTTCTGTCATTATAATCTCCTCCACTGGATTCTTGATAGTTTCTTTCCCTCCAGAGTTTCAATTAAAAATATTTTTAAGTTCTTTTTATTTTTTCCAGAAAAAATACACAGTTAGAAAATTAAGAAAACATGCTTGAGAATAAAATTAAAAATAAAATTACCCACAATATCATCACACAGCAATAACTACTATCATTACTATCCTTTTTAAACTAATAATATATTAGGAACATTTTTCATATCATTACCTGTATTGAGGCCTGTTATAACTATATTTTATTATATCAAATAGCCATAATTTAAGTAATTCCCTCTAATGAGATATTTCAGTTGTTTCATTATAAGTAGTACTTCATTAACATTCTTTCTGCACTATCTTTGCAAACACATTTAATTAGTTTTTTAGAATTATATTCTATATTCATACATATAGATGTGAGATTTCCACATTAAATGATATAAAATATCTAAGTTATTTTTTATCTACTTATTTTTAAAAATGACATAAATGGTCTTTTTTGTTAGTTCTGCATCTGAATATTTTTTCTTTGTGAATTTGGTTTGGAGGAGATGCCCTGCAGTGTTACTCTGCCATCTTTCTAAAACCCTTGTCAATTTCTGTTTTTTAAATGTGTTAGAGTTGGTTATAAAATTTTTCCTAATAAATATTACAATTAAGCAATTTTTTCTATTACCCTCTCTTATAAAATAATATAATCAAGAAAGTTTTATTTTTTCTAACCATCAAAAAACTTTATTTCTAACTAAATTCTTAATAGAGTTTTATCTGGTAGAGCATTAGTTGGAATGTTAAAACCATCGTAATTAAAAGCATGTTTATGGTATTATATTTTAACATTTAAATACAATTTTATACTATTTTAGAATGTAATTAAAGTATATGCATAACCCCAAATAATTATTAATTTTGTGATGATACACCAAGAAATCACTGCTAATTTGGTAAGTGTAAACATTCTATAAGGAAACTAATAAGTTTTGTTGGATTTGTTTTTAAAGGTATTAATTAATCTTCGCAACCCAAATTATGAAAATGGTGATTCTCTTAGTTTCAGGACTCATTTGGGTTTAATCCAAGTTCCTCTGAAAGTAAAAGACATCCCTGAATTGGTAAGTATAGACATTTTAAAATAAATTAACATATTTTAGAAGATAGCCATTAGAAAAATGTTTTAGTACAGCATGTATCTAAAGCAATAGGGTAATCTACTAATTACATAAATTAATAAAGTGACATTTATTTTTCATTTCAAATACGTATCTATAGAGAACAAGTTTTTTTGCTAATAGAACTAAAAATGAGCTTGTGTTGACCTATAAATGCTTTTGTTTATTCCCCATTTTAATAAACAGCATAGATTTATGAGATAGCATGTTGGGATTGAGGTGCCTGTTGTATGGCTATAAGACTGATTGAAATAAGTTGTGAGTTTTATAAAATTATTTTTAAGAAAGTACATTTTATTTAATTCAACCAACTTTTATGGAGCTCATAACATGGTTAGTCACTGAGGAAGATGGGGAAAATAAGAATGAATTAGAGGCTCTGTTTGTTCTGGAGATCATCACATTTTGGTGAGGAAGTCAGTTTTAAAATGAAAGGTGGGGAGATTTCTTAATGGCGGAGTTAAGAAATTATCACTCCTTTTTCTTTTTAATGTGACCCTAAAACAGTAAAAAGCACAGAAATGTAAATATTGTCTTTGGTGAAACCAGGAAGCAACTTATAACTCTGAGCTTTACTGTGTTAAGATAGAGAGCTGTGATAAATGATTTAAACAGGGGAGAAGGTCAAACCTAAATACCTCTAGAAGATGGGAAGTATGGATGAGAAGTGTGCCAATAATTAATTAATTATCTTTTAGTTCCAAATCCTCCTTTTCTCGCTCTTTCTTTATTATATAAAACTAGAGCTGGACTTAAAAACATTTCTCCTTTGCCAGCTGGCTTGATGTTAGGTTTATCAATAGAAGGTTCTGGAAGGCCATAGCAGGAAGAAGGGGCTTCACTTCCTGGTTTCTGTGTGTAGGAAGCAGTAGATCAGCATGCAGGAGGCTCAGTAACACTCACCTCAGCAGTCCTCAGCAGCCCAGCTATAGCCTGCTTCTTTTGACAAGTTTTTCACTACCCTTTGTCTACATGTTTCTGTGCAGCCACTACTTATCCATAGAGGTTTTTTGTTTTGTTTTGTTCTGTTTGAGACAGGGTCTTGCTCTGTCTCTAGGGGGCTAGAGTGCAGTGGCATCATCATAGCTCACTGTAACCTTAAACTCCTGGGCTCTAGCGATCCTTCTGCCTCAGCCTTCCAAGTAGCTGGGACTAGAGTTGTGTGCCCCCATGCCCCACTAATTTTTCTATTTTTTGTAGAGATGGCATCTTGCTCTTGCTCAGGCTGTTCTCAAACACCTGGCCTCAAGCGATCCTCCCGCCTCAGCCTCCCAAAGTGACGGGATTACAGGTGTGGGCCTGGCCTTTCCATAGAGGTTTGAATCTCAGCCTTAAGGGCTGAGAGACCGTTTCCTGAGTTCTTAGTTTCTTTGTCCAATCTCTTTTAGCCTAGAAATCATAGATGCTTTCTATGTTTGCTTCTATTTTTCCCTGTTCACATTTCTGGACATGGTTTCTATTTCCTGACTAGACACTGACAGATACAAGAAGCAAGATGATTTTCTACATAGAACATTAGAAATGCTTAGAATTGGAGACATTGCATGTCACAGAAGGCCGTGGTGAGACACAGGCTGAAAATGGAGCTTATGGGGAAGTCTGTATCAGGAGGAGTTAGACCCCCAGATTCCCATTGCCTTGCACACTGTGATGACTCCTCCCCCACCGGAGACCAGATGTATATTCACTAGAAATACAGAGTCAGAGAAGCTGTGCACTCAGAGACCTCAGACATAGAGCAGGTATGAGGTATTGAAAACAGAGAGATTCAGTGAAAGTCTGCTGAATAGTGAGACTCCTACTCTTATCCCACCACCACCACTGTGCTTTCCCCAGCCTCTACCCTCTCCTCCTTACTCTCCACCAACTCTAGAATGCCAGTGAAAAGACTAATAGGGATTTGGAGAACCCTTGCAAAAAAGATAGCTGGCTGGCTATGAAATTGCCTCACAGGGAAGTCCACCATACTCTATGCCCAATCCTTGCAGACAGAGCTTCCAGTCAGGTTTTTATTGCCTCATTCCTAAACATGAATGACCACCCTAGGATCCCCAGAAATTTGAACTCTTCCAATATGAAAGGCAGAGACCAAAACTAAAGCAAACCCCACCCCCAAACAAACAAACAAACAAAAACAAGAAGAAATAGCCAATTTAGAAAATAACCACTAATAGGTGTTTCTGGTTTGGATTTACATTCACCTCACAAGATACAATGGAACACAACCTGACACTAGGTTCACTTAGATTTGTAGACTGATACAGGACATAAAACAGCATGTCAGTCTACCAGCATGCCATTATTAGGTAGAGGATCACTAGGAGTTCTTACAGCCATCCAGATGCTACTTCACAAACATCACAAGGAATGCATACAAATGGAAGTGACAAGGTCACATAGGCATAACACAATGGGGAAGTCTCATACACAATAGAAGCCATTTCTTGTAATACATGTGAGCATATCTTCTAAGACCTATCAAAAAACACCACACAAGATGGCTAAGGCTTGTGTATTCCAATCAGTTTATAGTCCATTCACAGTTCTCTATTTCAGATGTAATTTACTAATCAAAAGTCATATTTTTTTGTAAATAACATTGCTTAGTAATATAGCTGGCATTCCTCTTAGCATTTTTTGTGATCCAGTACATTTTTAGGGCAACAGTGCTGGGAGAAGGTAAACCCCAGGTTGTCTTCCCTGGGCACATTAACCATGTCTTTCCAAAAGAAGACTTTAAAGAAACTATTAATATCCTCAGAAATATAAGAGAAGATATTACTCATGAAACAAGAACAGAATTTCATTAAAATAACAAAACTTTAGAGAATGAAAAAGGGGTTTTTGGATCAAGAATATGGTATGCAAAAAAAATATATCAGTAGAAGAGTTGAAAACAAAGCTGAGGAATTCTTTATCAGAAGATAGAGCAAAAAGCCAGAGAGATGAAAAATAGGAGGGAAAAGATTTTTTAAATTAGATCAATCCAGGAAGACTAACATCTGATCAGTAAGAGTACCAGAAACAGAAAACAGAGAAAATATAATTATTAAATTTCCAAGAACTGAAAGTCATGGATCTCCAATATGAAAAGCCCCAGCAAGTACCCAATGCCATGGAATGAAAGATCCATACCAATGCACTTAAAAATGATAAAACTAAAAACTTTTTATAAAAGAAAAGCAAGGTATATACAGGGTGTCAGGAATCAGAGTGTCATCTGACTCTCAGTAGTAAGACTGGAAGCAAAATGATTTTGAAGTAATGCCTTTACAAATCTGAATGATTTCAAGGCTAGAATTCTATATGTAACCAACAGTCAATCAAATGTGAAGGTGGAGTAGACATTTTCTGATGTATGTGATCTAAAATATTTACTGTTGTTCAGAGAACTGTTGGTAGAAATATTTCAAACAAGGTCATAAACAAAAAGCAAAATATGGAACCCAGGAAACAGGATTCCAACCAAAGACCGGGAGAATTTCCAGAAATGACAGTGAAGAGAAGTTCCAGGACAAAGCACTAGAGCACAGCAATCCCAGATTGGAGAAGAAGGTTGGAAGGTTCCAGGAGGAATGCCTGCAAGAAAATACCAAAATGTATATGATCTCACAGGCTTAACCACATGCAAATTATTTGGAGAAGGGTCTTTTCAGAGTTGTTAAAGGACATAGGAAGAGGAGGTAAATGATTAGAGAAAATTATATAAGTGAAAAAATGATTTAATTATGGTACGAAAAAAAGGATAAGAAAGGAATATATGTATAAATACCACGTGGCTCACTGGTGAATAATATTTACAAAGCCACAATAATGCAAACTCTTAGTATGGATTTAATTAAGAATTTATATATAATTATATTGAGATCATGGAAGGAAGGTAAGAGAATGTACATAAGCTAAAATCCTCATTTACCATAAAAAATCAATAGATGATATCTGAAATGGGTGAATTAAAAATAGCAATATACACTTGGAAAAAAGAGATAAAAAAGTTAAAGTGATTGTTCCTGGGTAGAGGGCCAATTATGATTATATGTTTGAGTGTGTGTTAGGGAGGAGTGTATAAGATAGGGAACTTTTATTTTGTTGTTAAAAGTTTTTTTAGCTGATTTGGTTTCTCAGACTATTTGCTGTAGGTAGAAGTAGTATCATATAATGGTTAGGGATATACTCTGAAGCCAACCAGCCTGGGTTTAAATTCTGCCTCTGCCACTTACTGGCTGTGTGACATTGGGCAAGTTATCAGTCTTCTTTAAGCCTTAGTTTTCTCATCTACGAAGTAGGGATAATAATATCTTACAGCAATGTTATGTAGATCAAATAAGATATGTGGTACTCATTGAATTATGTCTACCCAGAAGATATGTTGAAATCCTAATCTCCAGTACCTATGAATGTGATTGTCTTTGGAAATAGGGTCTTTGCAGGTGTAGTTAAGTTAAGATGAGGTCTTACTGAAGTAGGGAGGGCCCTAAATCTAATATGACTGGTGTCTTTATAAGAAGAGGAGAAGAGACACAGAAGAGAGATACACAGGAGAATCCGTATGTCCGTTGAGGCAGAGATTGCAGTGATGCATCTAACAAGCCAACGATCACCAAGGATTGCTGGCAACACCAGAAGCTAAGAGATCAACATGGAACAGATTGTCCCTACAGCATTCAAGAGAAAGCATGTCTTGCTGTCACCTTGATTTTGGACATCTAACCTTCAGAAGTAAGAGAATAAATTCCTATTGTTTGAAGCCACCCAGTTTGTGGTACTGTTTTTTTTTTTGGCAGCTGTAGGAAACTAATACAATATATAAAGCATGTAGATAGTAAGCAGTATCTCACTATTAACCATTACTACTACAACTTTGATAAAAATTGATTTTAAAAAAGTATTAGAAGTCCTGTTAGTAGAAGTTTGTAGAAAGTGCTGTGGTTGTACAGAAGGGGAGTGGCAGATTCTTCTAGTAGTGGGAAGTCCTCTCAGATGTACTTCTATTTGAACTAGGTTTTAAAGGAGTTTGCTAGGTAAAGAAGTAGGGAAAGGATAATTTAGGAAAAGATTCAGCATATGTGTGAGCAGGACTAGTGTGTGTTCTGTCTGTCTAAAGGGACCTAAGCCAATGTGAATGTATTAGAGCTTTAAGGCTATTGGAGAACCAAAAGCCCATGGCTAATTTTCAAGAAATTGTGGCTATATGTGCTAAGAGTATGGTTAGTCCTCTTCTGCAGTCATTGGGGGAGTTGTCACTGCCTTCTCTGTATCATGTGTCCTGGTGATATAATGATTCAACTCCAGGATGCACAGTTTATCTGTGACCCTGGTCTGTCTGTATGAGTATTGAACTTGGTGAGGCTCAGTGAGTTCTGTTATTCTGTAATGGGTAGTCCTTAAACCTAGGTACAATGTTATGTAGATTCATACATATTAAAGGGAAATTTCTTAAAACTGAGATTTATTAATTCTCAAGTGAAGTTGTGACTAATTCTTGTTTATTAATTCAGTCATGTGGAGGGAGCAGATTGAGATTAGAGCCCAGTAGTGTGGTTCGGTGTTCATCGAACCCCTCTGCTGTGTCAGGCACTATGCTAAGTACAGGGGTTGGGGAGGTGCAAATGTGTGTAAGAGACAATCCTTGTCTTCTAATAACTGCAGGTTAGTGGGGAGAGATGAACAATAAAAAGATAATTTCAGTATGAGGTGACTGTGTGCATGGATAGAGGTTGTTAAGGGTAATGTATGTGCATAGAAAGTTACTTCTTTCAGCCTGGAATATCAAGGAATACTTCCCAGAAGGCATGATACTTGGGCAGAGATTTGAAGGAAATCCGAGATTAAGGCCCACATCTGCTGATGTTGAGTAGAAGATAGTCCAGAGCAGTAATGTAGAAAATGGGTGTTCAGAGTTCTGTTTATACTCCTTAACATATCTTACCATAAGTAAAACTCTCCATTTTGATTACAGAACCTGATATTGAAGTGTTTTTTGGACCTAAGTGCCTGTTGTATTATGAATATCAAGGTTATTAAAACAATGAACTACATTATCATTAACAATCTAATGATTTCAATGAAGGAAGAGTGTCTTAAAATAAATGAAAGACAGTGGTTAAAAATGGAATGATAACTTTCAATTTATACTTCTGTAGTCATTAAAAGTTGGTAACATAAGATGCAGTGCTTTTTTTCTAGTGCAGATAAAAATCAAGTTTAGTTAACAATTGAAATATAATTATTTAACATCAACACAAAAATTAAATGTATATATGTATTCATTAGACTGACTATCTTGTGAGGGTCATTAATAACTAACTTAAATAATAAATAATTAGGAAAGATTAAAACTAATTCCATTTTTTTAAGGAGAAGGAAGTATGGTTTTAGCAATTAGAATTAGTAACAAAATACTGAGGCAAATATTAATAAAAATATTTAATTACTTTGGGCATAAAAATAATGTGAATAATATGAGGTTTTTATATATTTAAAAAATACCAGACAAACATGATTATTTTCCCTAGACGTTACTAGATAAATAGAGGAAGTCTGGAGAATAAATCCAATTTATCCTTATTTTAGCAGAGCACTTGATAGTCCAATTTTACTTAAAAATTAATTTAAGTTGTTTTGGATATTTGCAGTGTTTAGTTGATTAAGAGCTGAGTGACGTGTAGTACCATAGAAAGCACAGATACAGGATTATGTTGGTAATTTTAGACAGTGATTTTAGAAGGTAAAATTGATAAGTGCTATATATACTCTGTGTGTGTGTGTGTGTGTGTGTGTGTGTGTGTGTGT